GGGACACTTCTGGACCCCGCCCTGCACCTCTGCGCCCCTCACCATGTCCTCTTCCCTCTCCAGGATGGGCCCCAGGCCTCCCAGCATGCGGGCGCGCATGGTCTCGAATTTGAGGACACCATAGGCCCGCGCCATACGCTTCAGCGATTTCTTGGAGAGGCCGAGCCGCAGCAGGGGCCCGATATCCGCGACCTCCTCCACGGTCTTGGCGCTGGTCAGCTGGCGCCCCTGGTCCTCAGCATCGCTGTCGGGCGGGGGGTCGCTCTCATCGCCACGGGGAGGGTCTGCGGGGCCAGGTCCATCCTCGAGGGGTGGAGGTGGCGCGCGGGGCGGCCCCGGCACCACCTCCACCGCCATCGGGCGACCGACCTCCTCCGCCACCGTTTCCGTGGCTGGGGGGGCGCCCGTGCTCTCGGGATCGATGCCCACCCCGACGCCTTCCGTTGACCTCCGCAGGGCTAGCAAGCCGTCGTCGGAGAGCGCGAACCCCACCAGCACGTCCATGCCCTCCTTGATGTGGTCGAGGCTCGCGCGGAACTTCGCCGCCCTCTTGGCGGCGTGGTCGATGGAGCCAGCGCCCTTATTCAGGCGCGCTGCGCGCGTCACGGCCTCGTGCTCGGTGATGTTCTGCGCCGCCGCCACGCAGTGCGAGCACGTGTACAGCTTGTATTGGCCTTGAACACCCTTCCGCAGCTTGGGGCATTGCGGGTTGCGCTCTGAAGCCTCGGCGTAGCGGCGCATCTCACCACAGCTGAGCTCGTCCACGCACTCCACCATCATGATCTCCCAGTCATCCAGCGCTGAGCACACCCGACACCAGCCCAGGCGCTGCGGCGGGACCCAGCACGCACCCACGCAGTGGACGTAGCCCGCCTCGACGTAGTCCTCGTCCGCCATCATCTCGGCGCCCTCGAGCGCGGCAGCCGTGCCGCCGCTCGGTGGGGGGGGCTTTGCCGTAGGCGGCCGTGTTGCTGCGACGGCGGTGGCGTTCGCCGCCATGCCCGCTGAGGGCGCCCGTGGTCGCTGCACTCGGGGCCTCGCTGGCGGTCTCATCTTCCATGGAGCGGCCGCCATCGGCGTCGCTGCGCACACCTCGGCCACCGCGGCCGCTCACAGCCTGTCCCCGCAGCTGGAGGTTGTGTAGCGCGAGGGTGATCGCGCCCAACCCGCGGCGCTGCTCCGCGGCGAAGTTGGAGTAGGTGGCCGCCGCTGCCAGGGCAGCCCTCGTCACTGGCACCACCGCCGACGCGGGCATCGCGGAGGCCTCAGCAGGCGCCTCGGCCGTCGCCGCGGGGCCTCCGTCCGAGGCACCTTCAGAGGCAGCGGCACTGGGGGCGGCCCCCGCACCGCTGCCTCCGTCGGCGCCCTCGGCAGGCGTCACTGATCCTGTGGGCAGTGTCGGCGCCGTCCGAAAGGTCGCCGCCTCAGACATCACGTCGAACCCCTCGCCCGAGGCATCTTCGCTCTCCGACGCGCTCACCTGCTGGCCAGGGCGCTGCGCAGGCCCCGCTTTGGGAGTGGGCGCGTCGGCCGCGGTCGCACCACTGGCCTTCGCGCGTGCCTCGGCCTTCGCCTTAGCCTTCGCCGCCAACGCCTCGCGAAGAGGCGCCGCATCGTGACTGGGCGAGTCGGCACGCGTCACCGCAGGCCACGGCATCGGCGCGGGCTTCGAGAACTTGGGCGCCATCACTTGGTCGGAAGGATGGC